CTCACTTCTTTCCCTGATAATAGCATCAGGAACAGTGTTGCGTGCAGATACCGAGGTAATGTTTTGATATGAGAAGTTCGATCAACTACTGGCGATATCTGCAAGAATTTAGCAGTGGGAGCCTACAACGTACCCTGATCCAAGAACCAACGCGACACAGTGCAATACATTTGATAATTCTACTCTATGCGATCCTGATCGTATTCTCACGGACACTTGGCGGCAAACTATCCACGACAACATTGTGGCACAAACAAACAGTAGGTGGTTTCTCCCTTTTGACTCACTCGTAGCTATCACTTACAAAAGGAAGGAAGCAGTGATGTGAAAATCAGGAATGCGACAAGCACCCCTAGCGAGAGTGATTAACGAGTCCAATGTTTTCATCTGACGGACGAATTGCAGTCGCTTGCAGGGTTGCAGAACATCGATATCAAATACACGGATAATGCCTCGGCAGAATGTCATGATGGATCGTCGAATGGAGCACGGATATTTGTGATTTTGGCTCGCAGAATAAACACGACCTCAAGCCAGAACATCACCAGCAATGATCTGGTAGAGAAATATATGATATGTATCCGACAATCTAACGAAAATGATGTAGACTGTTTATTGTTGTAGACAGCTTTTGGCCATGGTTTACGAGAGGCATTCGGTCTTGATGCCGAACCATGTAAAAATTACGTTCTTGTTCTCGGCGTTGAGCTTGCGAAAGAAATTTATGTGTGGGTAAGTACCATGCTAGTATAAGGTAACATTAGCTGCACTGTACCCTTCATTAGACTGGTTCCGACCTTGCGCTTCCTAAGGACCGCATGGAGACCTCTCTCGAGCAGTACAAAAACTTATTCTTGGAAAGAAATTACATGGAAGGCTTGAATACAATTATTGATGAAATTGGCAATGTTCTCGCTGATCCATTCAAGGTAATGCACTTACTTTCGATGGTTGAATAATCTCACCATATGCACTAATTTATATACTAGTTCTGAGCTCTGAGTTTTCTACAGGGAACCATGTCTTTTTGTTTAGACGGTTCTATTCGATTAGCATAACATGGTAATTCAAGCAGAATCTCAAACAGCCCTCCATCAATATACTTTTACTCTGACTACTGCACAATGTTCAATTGCAGATAGACCAAAA